TTATAACTGTCTAGTTAGACCATAAATACATATTTGCGTCTATTATATTTAATTAGAATACTATCTTTGTTGCCTCTCAATAGTGGATTTTTTTTTTTTTAAATCCATGATCTGTAAAATAATTATTGGCTACTATTGGGTGCCATTAAACTAAAAATGAATTTTCCAATTCTCTATGCAAGATTCAAGTGATGAATTGTTAAGTGCATTGACAATGAGATAAAGTATGAATGTCAACGTCTATTTTATACCTTTTCATCAGGTAATGATTTCTTTTTACACAGCTTTTTGATCCATATGATGTTTACCCCTAAAGCAAGAATAAACAGCAATGAAAAGCCTGCTATGTAATAAATGAGTTTCTTTCTGTCTTATCGTAGTACGTATTTAAATATTATTAAATAGGGCATATTTTGTATGACTGTGTACGATATTAGACTATGGAGACAAACAACTTGAATACATATGTCCTTCCTCTTATCCGAAGCATTTTACTTCATGTGTCCTTTTTGTTATTAATTTAATGCTTTTCATTTTGCTGTATTGTAGTACTTATATAAATGAGTATACTGAGTATATGGAGGTATGCCACTCATCGACTAAGTTAATACACAAATGAATTTAATGCATATGTCGTTTTGTATCTTTATTAAATGGTTACTTTACATCTATTTTTTTATTAACTATTTTGCTACAACATCCATAAATGCAATGTATGATGTGCGTTATCATAAGTGACCCAGCCTTTCAGTTCTAGATGCAGACATATTTGTATTGTAGGCACCCTGTTATGGCACGTTTATTTAATCATATTTCAACAACTACCATGTAAATATAAGTATTGATTATTGTTGGATCATTAGCGTATATGGGCAGCCATGTCTTGCTTGAATACTTCTCAAATACATGTTAAATTTTGTGAGGGACGAGACATGGGTGTAAATGTTTTATTAGTTCAACCTCTAACTACTCTGTAATGTAGAAGAGATTTATGGTGTATGATGGTGAATTAGAGTATAACTGTGTCTGTGTGCTGCATACCTTTTGAAGTGTAATGTCCGACTATTTGATCTTTGTCATTTTGAACTCTATACCAGATATGAGTACAAATAAAAGGCTGTTTTTTATAAATGCTTTTCGTTTTGTCATGTTGTAGTACATATATAAATGGATATACTCAGTACATGGAGGTATGACACTCCTTGACTAAGTGCATAGATAAACAAATTTAATGCATTTGTCGTTTTGCATCTTTATTAAATGGTTACTTTTCATCTATTTTCTTATTAAATATTTTGCTACTACATCCACAGATGCAATGTATGATATGCATTATCATAAGTGACCTAGCCTTTCAGTTCCAGATGCAAGCATATTCGTATTGTAGGCACCCTATTATGGTATGTCTATTTATTTAATCATATTTCAACAACTACCATGTAAATATAAGTATTGATTATTGTTAGATCATTAGTGTATATGGGCAGCCATGTCTTGCTTGAATACTTCTCAAATACATGTTAAATTTTGTGAGGGACGAGACATGGCTGTAAATGTTTATTTAGTTCAACCTCTAACTACTCTGTAATGTAGAAGAGATTTATGATGTATGATGGTGAATTAGAGTATAACTGTCACTGTATGCAACATATCTTTTGAAGTGTAATGATCTGTACTCATCCTACTCTTTGATTTATGTGATGTTAAACTCCATGCCAGAGATGAGTACTAATGAAAAGCCTGTTTATTATCAATGCTTTTAGTTTTGTCCTATTATAGTACATATATAAATGAATGTACTGAGGTCATGGAGGTATGTCTCTCCTCGATAACACTATAGAAAAACGAATTTAATGTATTTATCTTTCAAAATCTTCAATAAAATGTAATTAGTCTTAATGAAAAATTATTATTAAACATTTTGCTGTGGGATCCATAAATGCAATGTATGTTATGTCTTGTCATATATGTCTCATCCTTCTAGTACGAGTTGGAGGCATTCATCTCAGTAATTTCATTTATTTATATTGTAATACACTTACACAGATATGTTTGTCTTATTTGCTTTAAATTATTTGTATTACATTTACTAATCTTGGGATGATGTCTTTATTTGTATTTCTTACATGACCACTAATCTTCAGAATATGAAGCAATAATCATATTGTCGCAGTTTGTAATGGGAAATTTGTTATTTGTGTCTCATAACTCTTGCATTTTGTAACATCCTGAGTTTTATTGGGTTTTAATAGCCTCTTTTGGTTGATTTTGAGGATAGATTAGTGTTTTAATGTTGATCTTGGAGTCTGGGTTGGAACTTGAGGTATATTGGAGGAATAGGTGAACAATCCCTCTCAGGGTTTGTTCGCCGCGGCGCACCGGGAGTTCCAGGGGAGAGTATCCTTTCAGGAAGGTTTTGCCATGGCGAAGGTGAAGGCATGCCGTGGCGAAGATTTTTCTGGGCGAGCAAGAGTTTCCTCTCAGGAAGCTTTCGCTGCGACGAAGTCGGGTTTTCTGGCGAGTAATCCCTCTCGGGATTAGTTCGCCGCGGCGAAGGAGTCCGAATCTATATAGTCGCGGGAGGGGTTTAGTTGTGCGAAAATTAGAAAAATCTGAGGTAAAGAGAGAGGCTTTGCTAGGGTTTCGGTATTTTGGCTTGGAGGGGGCATTTCTAAGGATCCATTACCTCAAGTAAGTGATTCTAACCTCTAATCTACTTTCTTTCTTGGAATTTCTGAAGATCTATGGTGAAACCCTAGAGTTTTCTAGGTTGTTATGGAATTGAGGTTTTTGACCGATTGTTTTGAGTTTAATTGATTGCTTTGGGTTATGTTAAGGAGGGTTAAATTGGATGTTTAATCGGTTTAGATTGTTGTTAAGACTTCAATTGTTCAAATGGGATGTTTGGAGGTTGAATTCCTATAGTGGGTCCTTGAGGTTTGAACTCTAATTGATGCTTAAAAAGGGGACTTGATGTTTTAATAGACTCTTATGACTTTGGAATGTTGTTTTAGTAGTTATACCCCTTTGAGTTGGATAGAGTTTTGGTTGGAGCTAGGAATTTTGTGTCCTCAATTGTTATTTTGGCCACATTATTAGTTTGAAAGCTAATACATGGTGGTTGTATGTTTGTGTGCTTGTGTAGACCGGTTGTGAGTCTTTGGTACACGGGGCATCGTGGTGGTTTGTTATTCCTTGCTCAGGTGAGAGGTAACTACTTTCCAATCCTTAGTACATGCTTCTGTGGTATTGTGAGTAGATTTATGTTTTGTGCTCCGAGTAACAATTATGTTCAAAGTGTATGTTGTATATAAAAAAAAAAGGAAAACCGTCTTGTGGGGTTTCGATTGATGATGAATGAATCTTGGAATTGTGAAAGATATGCCACTGAAAGAAGTTAATTATGAAATGTTCAATTACTATTTGATTATGGTTTGAGCATGATGCATGAATTGGGAATTGGTGAGAGTTTTTTATAGTTACTACCACGTGGTAAGGCCTCCATTAATGCATGATGGTTGGCTCAGTACGTCTCCTATAGTGAGGGATAGGTCTTTTGGCTCCCTACGTCTCCCAGAGTGAGGGATAGGCCTTTTATGGCTCCTTACGTCCCCCATAGTGAGGGATAGGCCGGGTTCGGCTCTTGAAAATCCCCCAAAGTGAGGGATATGGTTGATAGGAAATTGCATCATTGCACTTGCATAAATTGTTGTGGCTATCATTTATAATATTACTTGTGAAATGCCCCACTTGACACCTCACGAGCACCTATTTAGTAGTACCTTGAATTGGAAAGATTGGTTATTGGGACGTTTGTCTCACCCCGTGGTTTACAATGTTTTCAGGTGACAGTTCTAGGCATGCGCCTTTGGGAAGAGACGTAGAGGCTTGAGCTTGGTTAGCTTTAGGCCTCTAGCCTTTGTTTATGTATGGCTAGTTGTATATTGCCACAGTTAGAGTCCTTTTGAATTATTTTGATTACCAGGCCTTGTTGTAAACAGGAGAGAATGTTATCTCCTTATTTTGGTTGGCCGAAGGCCATTTCTATTGCTTTGTGAAACTTTGATATACATGGTTGAAACTAATTGGATGGGCTGATTTTGATGTCCTTTTGTTACCCGGGCCGGAGGCTCAGAGGCCCAATGGTTGTGAATGATTGATGTTAGTTGCATGCACTGAGTTTGGGTTTGACCCGAGTTTGAAAGTCAATTTCTAAAATTATGCAAATTTCTTTCTACTATGGTAGTTCATTTTAACAGATTTCCTTTTCTACCATAGTAGTGAATTTTATGATTTTGAGGTCAAGGGTTTTACAAATTAGGTTAAGGGTTTTACACATTTATCTTAGTTAGGAATACAACTATCTTCCATACACCCAAGTGTGCTCATCAAAGGATGTATTTTTTTTTTGACAATTTTCAACAAAAATCACATTAATAATGATGTGACAATTACATAAGAGTTAGCGTGTAAAAGAAATACAGTGCTCTTCACAATCAATCAAAAGTTGTCGTGAATACTTGAATATGTAGTGGTCCTAAAATTCCCGCCACATCTTTATACTCAATTCCGAATTTTGAATGAAATTATGAATGAAATTTCTAGCGAGACTATTGGCAAGAAGTCCCTATATGCATTGATTTCTCTATATATGCATCAACTTCTGCATGAGAGTTCATCTCACCATATTAACTTTTGATAACAAACAATTTGTTATATACAAAGATCCAAAGATGAGGAAAATTTCATCTATTCAAGAGTTGCATGATGGAACAGATAGGTGGAGGATTATTGCAAGAGTATTCTGAAAATGGAATGTGTTCCAAAAGTCAACACCTTCAGAGTTATTCTGCATATCTATGGTGCTCATAGATCAAGAGGTAAGAGTTTATTTAAATAGATTTTTCAAGATTCATTCATCTTTTTTTGGTTATATGTTTAGTTCCTTTAATTCTATTAATAATTGTTTTACTTATCAATTTGTCATTTATATAGGGCATAAGATTTAGGCAAGTGTTATAAATGCTGCTTTGCATGAACAATATATGAATAACTATATGGAGGGAGCCACATATTTCTTTGCAAATTTCATTGTGTCTCCTAACGTGACCCAATACAGAGCAATAACTCACCCTTTCAAGATTACTTTCACGCAACAAACATTCATGAGGAATGAACTTAATGTCATCCCGAAGATATCATACTCTCTTATGAAGATTGAGGACATTTTGAACATATTTGAAAGAAATCATGTAGACTGCCTTATAGGTATGTTATTGTAGTCAACCATAATTTTCAGGTGTACTTTGAGATATATAGTTTGTTAAATTTCATAATCATTTGACCACGTATGTTTTATTATCTTTCAGATGTCATTGGTTTTGTCAAGTATCTTGGAGGATTGGAGGAATACAGAAAGGATAATGAGACTAAGCACAAGTTGAGGATCATCATAGTTGATTAAGAGTAGGGTCTTTAATCTTATTACCCTAATAAATGTGTTATTTATGTTACTCTATTGTTCTACTGTTTACTACCATAATTCTCATTAGATAAATGTCCTTATCAATATCACCAGGGACAATCAAATCGCATGTGTATTATTCGATGAGTGTTCAACCAATGCCTACACTTCTTACCTGGAGAACATGAATACTCCTGTATGGCTTTATTAAATCTTGCAAGGGTTGTATTTGCAGATGATGGTAAGTAATCATTTAATTTAACAAGAAAATTCTTTACTTGAACAAGATTTTTGATCAATGGATTCCTATTTAAAATAAACGGTTTATGGTTTATATTGATAACAGGTACAGCATAGATATTCAGCTCTTTTAATGCGACCGTGGTTTATTTTAATCCCCAGATTGATGAAGTTAAAGAATTCCTTGACAGGTACCGAATGACTTTATCAAGGTTGTTGCATAAGACTTTTTTCATTTGTCATTTCTATATAGTTAAATTAGGCTATGATACAATTTCCTTTTAATTTTCAATGCCAAAAATAAAGATTCCCCTATCTTTTCAATACTAAGCCAACCTATGTCCTCTGATGTCTCAACCATCTACTATGAATATATTGAAGAAGGGCAATAAAGTTGTGTCAGATATTCATAATCAAAAGATGGTAAGAGTTGTAATATAAAAAATAATGCTTCTGATCAATAAAGTTTACCATCATATTATAACAGTCCTTGTCCTAACTATACAGGATGATCCTTTCATAATAAACTAAAAAATTGTTAAGCTTAAGACAAGGCATAGGCGAAATTACGATGGATGTGCAAAGTGTGCAGCTAAGTCGAAGGAGCAGAATAATGCTTTATATTGTGGGACATGTAAAAAGGCTCCTGATTCAGTAGAGCCAAAGTAAATTAGAAGTTTCATGACTCCATGTCCTTTCAACATCATTAATTTGTCCCAAATATAATATAGTTTGATATTACACTATCTTTGATTTTCAGATTGAAGGTTACATATATATATATCATTGAGGATGATACTGGTAAAGTCTCGTCACTTTCTGGGATAAGTTAGCTGTTCAAATGTTTAGCAAAACTGTTGCAAAGCTGAAAGTGTCTCTACCTAAGGTATGTTAACCAAGAACCTTTGTAATTAAACTATTCTTAGCTTAACATCAAATTAAATGTCATTCCAATTTATCAGGTAACATGTACATTTTAAGTGTTCTAAAACTACAAAGCTATATGAAATCCATCATGTTTTTGTAGGGGATGAGTTTGAGTTCCCAGAAGAGCTAGATGAAATTGTTGGGAAGAAGATGATTCTAAAAATGAAACTTAATGAGTACAATAAAAAGTATACCCAGTCCAGCATAAGTGTCTTACAGTATACTAACTTTGAAGATCTCATGGATCAATTCACTGAAGTATCTGTAGAGGTATTGTTAACATTTACATTAACTTAAATCATTAAGAAATATATTATACTGTGACATAAATTGTATTCTTATTATTGTAGTCTAGCAAAAGACATGGGAGTATTGCTACTAAGATTTAGACTATTAACATATATATTCTCATCTTTATGAAATGACTGTTGTTTTAGTACCTTAACAAGTCTCATTTGGATTGTCTTCTTATATTATTTCATATAGGCTACAAACTTATGAAGTTTCACCTCACACTGCAAGTGACAAGTCTTTGAACGATGGGATAGCTGCTTATGTTGAGGTTGATGACAACATTACTTTAGCGTCATTTTCGACTGCAAGACTCCTGCACGTAATAAAGGGGAAAGAAAGATCATTGCAAGGAAAACTATCATTTTAGATGAACCGAGCAATAGCTTCAAAGGCTCATCTTTCATCAATACTGAGGACTATGTTGTCAAAGTTATTAAGCAAGAGAAAAATTAAAATTCCCAAGTCTGTTGTTTGTCTTGTCTAGGTTGTTAGGAGTCATGATGTCATTTTGGTCCCAACTCATGGTAGTACTTGTTTAAGCTTATTATTATGTGTTATTTTCATCTATTTCTCATGTTTCTCCTTCCATGTACTATGTTTACTTTAAGTAATGTGATGCTGCCTTTTTTAATTATGCATTCTATATGATATATAGAGTAAGTTTCTCCCATAACGAACTGCAAACCTTATATTCTTTAATTTTTTTAGTACAGATTTTATATGTCTGATGAGTGTTTCAGTTTGCAAAATAACTATTATATTATATAAGAGTAGGACGGTAATGTTGCTTGGGATACTAATACGTAGTATAACACAAAGCTTATAATGAATGCTTTAAGGTTAATAAGTACCCTATAAATCTGTTGAGTGTCAAGATATAAAAATGTGAAGTGAATTGTTGAAGTCGTACTTAAGATTTATGTTATCGTACGTGAGTATGGGCCAACTTGAAAATACGAGCAAAACTATTAGGCTTTCATATGAGTAACGTACGTGTTGGATTAATAGGTTTCGCTACATATATAAGCATGATGATATACATTAGGTCCTGATTTGGATTCAGCCCAACCATGTATATATACTTTTTGAATGACACATTTTAATAATCATTCAACACTTCTGCTTCAGTCTGCACCAGGTTGTTGCTAATACTTGGGATCATGATGAGTTGTTTAACACCTTAACTACTTGCAATAGATGAAATTAGGGAAATAGTTTTTTCATACAGACTGAGTTTTAAAGTTTTAATAGTAACTTAATAAAGCAAATTTATAGAAATTAAGCCAATATGATATATAGAAATTAAGCCCATTGGGATCCTGATGAGTTGTTCAAGGTCTTACTAGCTATCAGACTCTTTAGTTTGTTAATACAAATTAAGCCCGTGTGATTTTAGAGAAGCACAATACAGTGTATCAATAGCAAATAAATAAGAACACATACTTGTATACAAAAGCTCCTGATAAGATACATGTTACAAAAAATATATGACAATAATATGCATTATATATATAAAAAAAAAAAGGTATTATTTAAAGATTCATAATAGACACTCAAAATAAAATGTGAGCATGAAAGAGTATGAACAGATTGAATTATGCGTAGACACATCTAATGCTAGATGTTTAATATTTAATAGACTGAAGCAGAAGTTCGCATCCAGTCTTATGATACTGAATTTTTATTTTAGATACCAAGTATAAAATCTACATTGCACACATTGATAATCTGAAACGGTTGAACTACGGTAAACTTTTCAAATATATTTGCTAGCACACACTTCACAATATATATTGCAGAGACATCTAGTGGAACAATTGTTCACTTATAATTATATTTTCTCTTAGATTGCAAACATTACCAAGACGTCGTGCTGTATTCGTTCATTGAGTACAAACCTATAACCTTTTCTGTCTGTTCAGCTTATGTTTTTTGTAGATAGTAGCTGGCTTTTTAGCATAAAGGTCCATATTTTATTTCCAGTTAAAGACCACTGAACACATATTTATCCACACCTCATTTACTATCTCACCCTTCATTTATTTGCTGGGCGTACTATCACTTGCCCATCATTATTACAAGCAATAAATGACTACTGAGACGAGGATTTCTTTCAGTGTTGTTTATTTTGCATTCTGTAAAATATGGCATATTCTAATACCATCTGTATTTTAATGCATTACATCCATTACTTCAAAACTTCATGCACAACCCGAGGTAAATTCGTTTGTTCTACTCTATTATATCCATTCATTTTAGGGGAACTATTCTGAGTCTCACACACATTATGTTGAATGAAGATGCTCTTGTCATCCAAGAGTATTGAAGGTATTTGCAAACTTGTGGGTTACTAAGGATACACTCATAACCATGGAGTAACTATAGACATGACTTCAACCTCTAGTTCTAAAAGGAAGTCTCGTGTTGGAGATGTAAATTCTTCCACAGTCAGGTTTGAACAAAATACAGAAGACGTGCAAACTCAACCATCTACAGTTTATAGCCCGCTAGATGATACCTCCCTACCTAAGCAACAAAGAAGAACATGTGCATTGCAAAATATCACCAACATTACCTCCAACCTATCAACCAAATTTCAAATAGTTCCCTCATAAGTTATGTGGAACTCATCTTATTACAAACAAAATCAATCTTGTAACTTTAAGATCTCTGATATTTTATCTACCACATTCTATGCAAGTAGGTATATAACATTATTATTTCATCAGATATAGATTAAAGTAACACAATTGTAGAGTTTATATAAGCAAGCAAACTCCTGGGTGCAATTATGCTTTTACCAGCAATGGGAATGCAGTTGATTTAGATTCAGTATATAACCATAAAAGCGCAAGGTTCAAATTCTTTTCCAACTTAGCCAATGACAACAATACTAATAATAGCAATTAAGCAAGACCTGCTACACATACAAGACGTTCAAGTTATGGGCATACTTTTAATCTATACCTTAAATTCATTTGAATTATGTATAGTTAAATATTATCATTATGATTACATCAACATATTATATAATTTACTATTATTTTTCCTTCAATATGTTTTTAGTGTTTCACATTCAATGTTTATTTGGCTATAAGAATAAGATCACAATAATATTTTAGCAAATTGAATTTATAATTTATTAAAACAATTTTGTTCATATGCAGACAAAGCTCCTGTGAGTAATTCAAAAGAATGATAAAATAGTAACTAATCGAAGTAACTCCAGAGCTAGAACAAAGGGCAAGCAATCCAAAATATCAATCAATGATAACAATAATGGTCATCCATTATGTTCTTCAGACTTGTCGTCACAATACTTCTCAGAGATCCAAAGTTCAATTTGTAAATTCATCTCGTCCATTACTTGATTCAAATTGTAGAAATAAATTTTGGCAGTGTTTGTATATTCTTTATTCCAAATTGCAGCTAATGTAGATAGAATAGATTACATAATGACAGATTTCTCATATCTATTTAAGTCCAATGTCGAATTTGATGTTAAAGTGATGATTAATGAGGAAAATGAAGGTTCTTAAATGTCTATAAGTCAGTATTCAGTTATTATTTCAAAATATCAAATTGACTATCTAATTTATTGAAATGACATAAATTAACAAATGGAGATGTTTGTGCGGAAGACATGCAATCGATACCTCCTAATGGAAACTCAGACCTATCAATCAGCATGGAAGGTAGAATCTCTCCATAGATAATGTCTATTATAAATTATACTTTCATGATAGAAGATCTGTTTAGTAGATAATAAATGGAAATGCATATTTATACAGAATATATGGATGAAGGTGATCCATCCCACAAATGTAATCATTGTGGAGCAATGCTTTGGTATAATGAAAGGGTCAAGAAAGACAAAAAAAGATTTGTGAATACCTTCTCATTATGTTGTTTGAAAGGAAAAGTACAATTACCTCTTATGAAGGCACCTCCTCCATTATTGTACCAT